GGGATTCTTTGTTGGTTAACGGGATGTGTGAGGTGGGGTGAAGAGAAGGAGGGGAAGGTAGAGAACAAGGTAGGGAATAGACACAGGATAGTTTGGGTGTTGGAGAGGGGGACAATAGACAACAAGAGGGAAGTAGATGGAAGAACAAAGTGGATGGGAGAATGATTAGGCAGGTTTGCATGGGCTAAGTGGGACAGAGATAATAATGATGTATGCACAACCTTGGAACAGCAATGCTCTGGGATACAAGGATTGAGGCATGGTTGAAAATGGCAAAAGAGGAGAAACAATGTTAAGAAGTCTGGCTGTCTTTCGAATCTTGGTTTCACTTGCATACCATTATAAAATAGACATTTGAGGGGGAGAGAAAGGAATAGCCAGTACTGTCACCATAGAAAGCTTGTAATTCTGTCTTCTGCCTATAATTGATTAATTATATAAAATGGGGCTATGATTTGTTCAGTGAAGGAGGCTTCCTGGGGAGCCTCTACATTACCTAAGACCATAGAAGGAATCCTGAACCCCATACAGAATCTTCTGAGTTGGGAAATTTCCACTTGAAAGGTAAAGCAGACCATCCTGGAGCAGCTAGAACAGAAAGACTGACTACTACAAGAATAAGCAAGTTGTTTGCTCAGCAGACATTGAGGCAAGTGGTTGGGTCCCCTTTGGGCAAATATCCTACCCAAACTAAGACTAAATGGGAATACACGAGCAGACATGCACTCTAACTGGTCACCATGTTGGTCACCGATAAGTGGAAGCAAGGGAAAAGAAACAAAACAATGAAACAGCAAGCTAGACCCTACCATGTTCACTAGACTTCTGTAACCCTGAGGGAGACCTAGTTGGTCAGCAGTGTTGCTAGACCTGGGTCTAGAGTCAGTGACATAGCCACAGAGGACTATGGTGTAGAGTGAAGTGTCCAGAGGATAAGAAGTGAGATCACCCACACTTACAGATAATGTCCACTTAACCTGGCTTCAATGGCTGAATGATCAGAATTCAACTAGAAGAAGAAAGAAGAGGGAGGAAAAGATTAATCTGATACAATTGATGAACTTGACCTATACCTATGGATGCAGTAGCTCAAAAGAAGGATCAAATCTTTACAGTGAAGATCATTGCCACCCCCTTGATACACATGGTAGACAGGGATGGGCTACCCAAAATGAAGGGGCTACAAAGGCAAGAAGTGACTGGCTTACAAGCTTTCAAAAGTGAGCTTAGATCCAGTGAGAGCAGAGGAAGGTAGAATCTCTACTCAGTAGTATCCAATCTGTTTGGGCAGGGCTGATGAAAGGAGATGGGGATGGCTCTCATGTGGCATAATAGTGAATACTTTCTATCAGGACTGACTGTGAGGGTTGGAAATGTAAAAGTAGATATTTTGTAGCTAAACAAGGGGAGTGGTTGACTTTGCAATCCAGGAGCAGAGGTCGCTGACACCATCAAGGGAGAAGAGTGGAATGCGGGACCCTACCCAGAGAAGCACTGAAAGAATTGGCAAAGAACAAGGCACCAGGAATTGATGGAATAAAAATTGAAATCTTTTAAGAAAGTGAGGCGGCACAAGAGGCACTCACTCGTCTCTGCCAAGAAATTTGGAAGACAACTATCTGGCCAACTGATTGGAAGAGATCAATATTTGTGTCCATTCCAAAGAGAGGTGACCCAACAGAATGCGGAAATCATCAGACAATCTCGTTGATATCTCAAGCGAGTAAAGTTTTGCTAAAGGTAATACAGAAACAGCTACAATCATACACTGACAGAGAACTTCCAGAGGTTCAAATCTGGATTCAGAAAAGGCCATGGAACGAGAGATATCATTGCTGATGTCCGATGGATCTTGGCTGAAAGCAGAGAATACCAGAAGGATGTTTACCTATGCTTTCTTGGCTACACGAAGGCTTTTGATTGTGTGGATCATGACAAGCTATGGACAACATTGAGAAGTATGAATATTCCAGAACACTTAATTGAACTTCTGAGAAATCTATACGTAACCAAGAAGAAGTTGTTCGAACAGAGCATGGGAACACTGAATGGTTTAAAATTGGGAAAGGTGTGCAACAAGGTTGTGTTCTTTCACCATACTTATTCAACCTGTATGCTGAGCAAATAATACGAGAAGCTGGGTTCTATGAAGAAAAACATGGCATCAGGTTTGGAGGAAGACTCATTAACAACCTGTGATATGCAGATGATACAACCTTGCTTGCTGAAAGTGAAGAGGACTTGAAACATTTACTTATGAAGATCAAAGAGCACAGCCTTCAGTATGGATTGCATCTCAATGTCAAGAAAACAAAAATCCTCACCACTGGATCAATAAACAACGTTTTTATCAGTGGAGAAAAGATTGAAGTTGTCAAGGACTTCATTCTTCTTGGATCAACTATCAGCACTCACGGAAACAGCAGTCAAGACATCAGACGATGTATTGCATTGGGAAAATCTGCTGCACAGGAACTTTTTAAAGTATAGAAGAGCAGAGATGTCAGATTGAGGACTAAGGTGCACCTGACCCAAGCCATGGTATTTTCAATAACTTCATATGGATTCGAGAGCTGGACAGTGAATAAAGAAGATCGTAGAAGAATTGATGCCTTTGTGGTGTTGGAGGAGAATACTGAAAGTGCCATGGATTGCCAAAAGAACCAACAGATCTGTTTTGGAGGAAGTGCAGCCAGAGTGCTCCTTGGAGGCCAGGATGGCTAAGCTTCGTCTCTCATACTTTGGACATATTGTCCGGAGGGAACAGCCGCTGGAGAAGGATGTCATGCTGGGTAAGATGGAGGGTCAGACAAAAAGAAGAAGACCCCCAACAAGATGGATTGGCCAGGTGGCAACATTGATGGACTCAAGTGTGGCAGTGGTAGTGAGGTTGGCCCAGGATCAGACATTGTTTCATTCTGCTGTGCATGGGGTCGCTATGAGTCGGTTCTGACTCAATGGCACCTAACAACAACAAACCAGAGAAGCAGTGATGCCATATATGGATGCAGAGATGGTGACATGGAAATAGGGAATGGCTGGGGACTCTAGACCCAGAGAGGGAGAAGGGCTTTGTGTTGATGACCAGTGGAAGGTTGGCAGGGTATACCATTTGATTGGTTGATGATGCATGGAGAGAATTGTAACCATGGCAATGAAATGATATATGATAAAATGAATGTAAAGATAATGTTTTCCCATGTAAACTAGCACATAATTCACAATAAAATATTTTTAAAAATTCCTGCCAACTCTAAATGATAAAATGGGAAATAAGTGTTCAAAAGCTATGCTTTATTTTTCAAAGTATGTGGAAGCATCTACTGTAATGGGATTGCAGAGCAGTCTGGGAAATTTACCTTTATATAGGTAGTGCACATTTCACTTATTTCCATAACAAATACCAGTTTACAATCAAGTATTTTATTTGCAAGTTTGAAATATATTCTTGAGAGGTTCTATTGTCTTCATTCCTACTCAGAAACCCATTGTTTTCCAACATGGCAATTCTGAAATCTGCTTTAAAAAAATGAGAGTTTAAAATTTGATTTTTTGTAATTGGTGTGTGTGATCGAATCTGTTTTGACTCACAGTGACCCTGCATAGAATTTCCCAGACAGTAAGTCAATCAACACTCGCAGAAGCAGCAGTCAAGATATCAGACTACATATTGCATTGGGCACATCTGCTGCACATGAACTTTTTAAAGTATTGAAGAGCAGAGATGTCAGCTTGAGGACTAAGGTGCGACTGACCCAAGCCATGGTATTTTCAATAAAATCATATGGATGTGAGAGCTGGACAGTGAATAAGGAAGATCGTAGAAGAATTGATGCCTTTGAATTGTGGTGTTGGAGGAGAATACTGAAAGTGCCGTGGACTGCCAAAAGAACCAATAGATCTGTTTTGGAAGAAGTGCAACCAGAGTGTTCCTTGGAGACCAAGATGGCTAGGCTTCATCACTCATACTTTGGATACATTGTCCGGAGAGAATAGTCGCTGGAGAAGGATGTCATGCTGGGTAAGGTGGAGGGTCAGAGAAAAAGAGGACGACCACCAATGAGATGGATCAGCCAGGTGACATCATTGATGGCATCAAGTGTGGCGGTGGTAATGAGGTTGGCCCAGGATCGGACATTGTTTCATTCTGCTGTGCATGGGGTCGCTATGAGTCAGTTCTTACTCGATGGCACCTGACAACAACAACAACAACAAGTCATTTCAAAGCAAAAATCTTATTTTTATTCCAGAAAGCAGTTTGCACAGTTGAACTGCTTGCCTTTCATTTAGTAGACAAACACATAACCACTATACTTCTAGAGCTTAATTGTGTTTCAGTATAAGTCTGTTTTCTGTAGGATCTATTTCAATCTTAGTGAAATGAATAGACACAATGACACATAGAAATGTACAGGTGACACAGGACCCAATAGTGTTTTGTTCTGTTGTATATAGGTCACTAGAAATTGGAAATGACTCAACGATGCATGATAATAGCAATATATTTCATTCTAACAACCCTTCTGGAAGACAGTAGTGTCTACACAGTGTCATATCCAAAAGCTAACTTTTTTTATTACCTCTAACTTTGTTTATTACTGGCTTCCAGACAGAAGTAGAAATGGCAACAAGTGCATGTTTGCTCTACTTCCTCTTTTCATAAGTACACTCACTGTGTTCCTCAGTTGGATGGGCTTTTCACACTCAAAATTCAGGGATATGGCAGAGAACCCAGGTCCTCAAACAGTAATTGAAAATCAGTTCCCATGATTTGTTTCTACGTTATTTCCCACTTATTTAGTTGTTGCATCTTTAAATCTTTTTAAAACAAACATGTTCCACAGGCGGAGTCCAAAACTAACCTTTGAAATATATTGCCTAATGAATATGCAAATAAACTGAAGTCTATTAGATCAAATAAGGATATATCTATCTCCACAGAACATCAGCCAACAACCACACTCTTCACTATCAGAAGCTCTCAGAACATAGCTCTTACCATGGAGTGGACATGGAGAATCTTCCTGTTTGTGACTGCAGTTACAGGTAAAGGTGTTCACAGTCCCAAGGATGAGTAAGGAGTTGTGTTTACTAGAGGTGATTTTCATCTACCCCAATCTGCTCTCAACAGGCAGCCACTCTCAGGTACAGTTGGTACAGTCTGGACCTGAGCTGAAGAAGCCTGTATCAATAATGAAGATCTCCTGGAAGGTTTCAGGATACACCTTCACTAGCTACTATCTGCATTGGGTACAGCACACCACTGGACATGGGCTCGAGTGGATGGGACGGATAGATCCTAGTGATGATGAAACAAAATACTCACAGAAGTTCCAGGGAAGAGTCAAAATTACCAGTGACACATCCACTAACACAGCTTACTTGGAGCTGAGCAATCTGAGTTCTGAGGACACGGCCATGTAATACTGTCCGAGACACACAGTGTAGTAACCATATCCTGAATGTGTCACAATCCTACTGGGAGGAGGCAGCTAAATTGGCTTCAGAGATCACAGGAAAAATTAGACCGAAGGCTGTCTTATTTTAAGGTTGAATAATTCCAGAGTAAACAGAGTACTTTTGTGTTGCTGTGGGAAAATGCACTGCACTGTAAAGTCAGTTAAAAAAAATAAGGTGGGCAGTTCAAATTCACCAAGAGCTCCTCAGAAACCCTATACAGTGTCACTATAAGTCAGAACCAACTAAATGACACTTAACAACAACAATTGAGGAAAAGGAACAATAGAAACTTGTGCTCACTCAGGTTAGAAGATGAAACTTTTCATACATAGTTTTTCAAAAAGCAAAATTTAGAGATGTAGGAGAGACTCTAATGTCTCCTTTATAATTTATTTTCCTTGTAAGAAGACAAAATGTAGGTCAAATTTAGCTGAGTGATAAAATTGTGCCTTTTGATTTGGAAGTTTATTCAAGTAAGTACTCCACTGTTCCTGAAAATCCTCTTAAAGCTCTACCATTTGAGACCTCTGGATAGGGTCTATAACAGGAAGTGAAAGACTGAAAGGAAACTATTTTCCTCCATCTTTGCCCTGCAGAGTTGGAGATAACAGAGGGGGCACAAGAGTGGGTGACTGGTCTGCAGTGCAGCTGCAATGCAGGGCAAAGAAGATACACAAGAGTGTATGGATTCAGTGGCCAGCCTACACAATTTTACTAGAGGAATTGGTAGCCTGGCCTGAAGCTCCATGGTGCTCTTGGATGGCCAGGCCTTTTGGAGTATGCAACCACCCAGGCCTTCAGATTTTAAGCTTCAGGTCATCATTATGGTTTCCCATGGTGTGGGCAAGATCAAAATGATGGAATGCTTCACCAAGTACACCTTACTCAAGCCCTGAAAGTTCATCATGAGTGCTAGTTTAAAACTGAAATCATAGAGCTAATTGAAAAGAAAATACAATCACAGTTTTGGGACACAGTAGGTCAGGAAAAAGTCAACTCAACAGTATTATTTCATCTTAATACAAAATTGTCAAGGGGATCATATAACTATATGGTATTACCAAAAAGAGATATTTGATAATTTGACTAAATGGATGAAGGTGATTGATAAATGTGCATCAGAAGACGCATATTTCCTTCTCTTAATAGAAAAAAGTTGGACTGTGAAACTCACAGGAAAATAAGGAGGCAGCATGGTGAAAACTTTACATAGCATATAACAGGGATTTGGTTTGGGGAGACAAATGCCAAGGATAATTTCAATGTGAATGAAATATTTCTGAAACTTGTTGTCAATATTCTGAAAAAAGATGCCTCTGGATATTTTAAGAAATGAAGTTTCCAACAAAATTCTCCCATCATAACAAGAACATGACATTCTACCTGAACTGTCTCCATCAAGACCACATGTTAGATGCTATTGATTTGTTACAGAGGAAATGATTCCTGAGCAATTTTGTTCTTCACTACAATCATTTTGACAATTCTTTTTACACTTTGTAATCCAAAACAAAGCTAGACACTAACTTAAATGAAAATATATAATCCTGGTAAGGTTTGTTTACATATTTCCCTCAAATTTCTCTCATCTCATTCATTATCCTAGTGTCCAATTGTACATACTCTGGGAAATGTAGTATGTCTAATATGAAGAATGGGGAAAATGAAAGCTATAATATTTCTTGAACTAGATAATATAATTGTATTTCTTAATTGTACTCTAAAGGCAGAATATATTCTAATAAAAATTATGATTGCGGCTCTATGCTTACCGTTTTAACAAAATGTGCAAAACTAAAGACTTTTTTAAAAAAGCAATCTTAAGTGCTTTTTCTTTATCCACAATACATTATTTCCATTGTAGCACCTTGAAGTATTGGAATATTTCTGCACAGAACAAAACTACATTTATATCTGCCATGGGTTATTATTAATATGTTTTATGTTTGGATGTTATAGATAGAAGTCCAAAGAACGCAGAATTGCCATCATGGTTTCCTAACAATATACCTTGTACTTTTAAGAACTACAAGGATCAATAAAGAAAAAAGTGTTTTTGAAATTATAGAATATTTTTATACAATACTGCTGCCATAAATAATGTTTAAAGAAATTTTAAAGAGAGATTTTACTGTATCAAAGAACACATGCATGTATTTGCTTAAGCATTCTGTACATTTGTAATGATAAATACTTTCCCCCTTACTGTGGAACTTATTACCAGAAAGCCTAAACTGTGTTTATTTCTTTGTGTGTGTGTGTGTGTGTGTGTTCTCATAATGAATTTTTTATCTCTAAATTTGATACAACTTCTAAACTTTACTGTTTTATTAAGTCAATGTAACTAAGTAATTATGGAACAAGCAATCCACAACATGAAACTCACCCAATGACTTCTGGAAAAAGAGATGTGAAGGTTTGTTTTGTTTTGTTTTGTTTTTTGTTTTCTTTTACTGCTATTGTGTGCTTCCCTGTCACACCCTCTCTGCCTTACCCAGGTGGGGTGTCTTCACTCAGGTGCGATTACACCTCAGAAATGGTCCAGTATTGTGCCAACAGGGCACAATTGACACTGTCACAATGAGCTGAGCAGAAGGAGGATCTTCCTGCAGTACACAGAGGAAATAGCTGAAAGTTCCAGGCTGTGCCAATGGCTAATGCTCCGGGGGCTTTTATGACATCTGACTTTTGGATTTAGCTCTGAAGTTGGCCCTCCTACATGGATAGGCGTTTATATTCCTGTCTTACCTAAAAATACCGTAGCTAACAAGGGAAACAGCTCTGGCCATACAGCCAACCTGCATTTCCTCCCTGTAAAACCTTAACTCAAAAGGCAAGAGTCAACACAAGCTACTATATACAACAACAGTGTATAAAGCCAACACCTTTTAAAAGCACACTAAAAGGACTAGCAAATGCAGGTGCAGAAAAGAAATCCCATTGCAGAGAAGTGACAGAACTTCAGAGGTAAAAGTACAAAGAATTTTTTTGCCCATTCATTTTACTTTCTCTGTCTGTGAGCCACCACTAGGGTGACTACAGGCATTCCCTGGACTAGCTGACACCCGTCTACTACAGAAAGGCCCTACTGCACATGCAAACAGATATGATCAGATGTGAACTGTCTCCCAGTAGGAGAAAAAAACCTCTCCTATCTGGCTACAGGTCTTATTTTTTATTTTGTTGTTGTTAGGTGCAATCCAGTTTGTGCCATGTCATAGTGACCCTATTTACTACAAAACAAAACACTTCCCGGTCCTGGGCCAACCTCACAATTGTTGTCACACTTGCATCCATTGATGCTGCCATTTGGCCAATCCATCTCTTTAGGGGTTTTCCTCTTTTTCTCTGACCCTGCACCTACCAAACATGATAGCCTTCCCCAGTGACTGGTCCCTCCTGACCATATGTCTGAAGCATGAAAGACAAAGTTTGGCCATTCTTGCTTCCAAGGAGAAGTCTGGCTGCATTTCTTTCAATATAGATCTGTTTGTTCTTTTAAGCAACCCATGGCATTTTCAACATTCTCCTCCATAACTCAAAAGCATCACTTCTTCTACAGTCTTCCTTATTCACTGTCCATATTTTGCATGCAAATGCGGTTACTGAAAATACCATGGCTTGAGTCAGGTGCACCTTATTCTTCAAACTGACATCTTTGCTCTTCAACACTTTAAAATGGTCTTCTGCAACAGATTTGCCTAATGCAATATATCATTTGATTTATTGACTCCTGCTTCCATGAATGTTGATAGTTGATCCTAGAATAATGAAGTCCCTGAAAACTTCAATCTTTTCTCCGCTGACAAGAATGTTGTTTATTGGTCCAGTAGTGAGGATTTTTGTTTTCTTCACATTGAGATGCCATCTATAACAAAGGTTGTGCTCTTTGACCTTCATCACTAAATTCTTTAAGTCCTTCTCACTTTCAGCAAGCAAGGTTGTATCATCTGCACATCACAGGTTGGTAATGAGTCTTCCTCCAATCCTGATGCCACGTTTTTCTTCATAGAACCCAGCTTCTCATATTATTTGCTCAGAATACAGGTTGAATAAGCATGATGAAAGAATACAATCCTGTCACACATTTTTCTTAATTTTAAACCATTCAGTGTTCCCATGTTCTGATTGAACTATTGCCTGTTGGTCCATTTATAGATTCCTCATGAGCACAATTAAGTGTTCTGAAATACTCATATGTCAGTCACATTGTTGTCCATAGCTTTTATTTTTTTTTTTCCTTTTTTTTTTTTTTACCCCCCTTTTAAAGTGAGCTCTTTCTCTGCCTACACTACGCAACAAGAGACAACTATCCTGGTCCTATAGCCAAGTTACAATCATACCCAATAAAATCCTTCTATCCAATCAAGAGCCAATACTAGCTGCTGTACACTAGATAGACAGCCCACATCTGCTACAGTTACTCAGAGTTGAGTAATAGAAAAATGATAAAGGGAAGACCATCTACTGATCATATCTACCTGTAGTCAATCTGAAAACATAATACTATATCAACATAGAGTCATCTAATTATAACCATGCTTAATTATTGCAGATGCCAAAGAAACATCTGACAATATCACCAAATATCCAGCATCAAGATAGAGTAACTGAGTCAAATGAGTTTTAAGTGGATTTAGACCTCACATTGAAAGAAGGGCAGACTTTAGAACTGCCTGATAAGGAATTCAGGAGACTATTAAGATACATCCAAAAACAACTGCGCAGAGGAGTTGGGAAAAATAAGGAAAAATGAGGGAAGCACTACAGGAACAATCAAACAAGATAGATACAGCATTAGAAACAACTCAAAACCTGCAAAAAAAAAAAGGTCCAAAGGATCAATAATAAAATATCAGAAATAGATAATACACTGAAAGGGCAAAGGAGTAGAATTGAATATATGAAAGCCAAGATTAGCGAACTGGAAGACAAATGACTCAATACTGCTAAGATACAAGAGTAAGCAGAAAAAAATGGGAAAAAAG